GCAAAAATATTCCTTTTGCTGTCATCTTTGATGGTAGGTAGACTCTGTTGCTGAATCTCAGCTACGTATCTTAGATTCTTCTATGGACAGCTGTCATTGTTATCTCCAGGGTCCTTTAAAAATAGTTTATTGGTGTTAATTTAGAAAGGAATTATTCAGACAACGAGATAATTTCCTCTGTCTTTTTCTGTATTATGTGTCTCATACTTTGTCCTCTTTTGCCAATTTGGGGAGGGGGGGGCGAAGTAGGAAAGCAGCACAAGGACAACTCAATCACAGTTGCTAATTTTTCTCCCTTTACCTTTTCTGTCACCAGTAATAACATCATAGATTAATAGAATAAAAGGTAAAAATGCCCCAGGTTGTGTTCACTTCCTGAATGAATACAATTTTGTTGACAATGATACACAAGTGCAGTAGTTTGTATCTGCCTTCTGGGTCTTTCTTTTAGCTTTCCACCCTAGCTTAAAACCAATGTATTTTCTAGCAGTTTCCCATCCAAGCATTAACTAAATCTGATCTTGTTTGGTTTCTGAGAAGGTCAACCAGGCACCACAACCTGCTTTTCTATTTAATTTGTTCATGAATGTTAATGAGGAATTAACTTTAGTAAGAAAGAGCAACAGTCTTTTTAAAAAAACATTTACTGTAAATCTTATAGATAATATGTAAACCCTTCATCTATTCGATTCCAATAAATAAGAAATATCAACTATATGAGTCCTGGGTTACTTTCGCTCTTCAAGCTGCCCCATTAAGTTGAACTGGCTTCCATCCAATCTGCCACATATGAAAAAATTGATTTAGTTGACTACTAAAATGTACCAATTAAGTTTTGTTTCAGTAAGGAAGTCTTATAGTTTTCAAGCTAAAACTAAAGAGAGATCTTTGAAATGTCCATATGTCCACAAAGAACTAATAATTATGTTAGTTGTACCATGTAAAATAGAATAGTAAAGCACCCATGGAAAGTAGTACAAAGCAATATTTACTTACAATTATTACAGCATACATTTCCTGTCTAATTGCAATTATTGTAAATGGTTACTTTGTAAATGTTGAAAACTTTTTGTTGAGTTATTTTGAATTTTTTAATCATTTAGATCAGGGGCCCCAAACCTCTGTGCTGTGGCCCATCAGTAGGCTGTGAGTTTTTTAAAACTGGGCTATGGACACATTTGCGAGGGTGCATGTATAGACATGCATTCTCACTTTTGCACGCAGCAAGCAAACGCATCCACACATGCTTGATTTGCGTGAGCAACAGACACACATGCACGCCTCTCTTGCAAATGGTGCTGCGCATGTGCACACTTGCTGGCTGTTGAGGTATTCCCCGGTAGGAGAATGGGTGCACTCAGGTAACATAGTGAGAGTGGTGATGAAAAAAACACAACCAGCACACAGATACACTGAATAGTAAAATGTAAGTTTTACTTCCAGTAAATAGGTAAACAAAGTCCAACAAACAGTCCAAATCATACACGGTTAAAGCAGTTAGTATTCAAAACAATCAGTCCAGGGATAATCCAAAAACGAAGTCCTTTTCTTTACCAGTATCATAAACAAAGTTCAGTAAACAGAGTTTGTGAACAGTTGCAAGACTCACAGCAATTCAAGCAGAATGACGATCAGGCAAAAAGCAAAAGGGAAGCAAAGGAAATGCAAACAGGAACAAACCAGGTTTCTGGCTCCATCCTATGGCCGTTGGAAGAACCTCAGCCAATCACAATTACAGCATTCTCTTAAAGAAACAACAGTATTAAAAGACTATCCTGGTTTATATATTGCCAACCCAACTGTTAGGTGACTATCATTCCTAACACTGGCCGCTTGCACAAAACCATCCCCTCTCCCCTCTGCCCACAAAGCCAGAAAGGTTGGGTAACTGATTTAGACACTTTGAAGTTTGATAAAGTGTAATAAAATTATTCTGGCATGAAAGGTAGATGTATCGTATAAAAGTCTGTGAATTTGGTATCTTTGGAGTGGAAGTTGCAAATATATCCATGAAAATGGACTCTTACCAGTTTTCCTTTTCATCACTACAGTCCTATTTTAATAGCAAGACAACACATAATATATTAGTCATAACAGAATAATTATGTTAAGAAATGGAATGAAATTAAGGAGGACATGTTAAAATGGGAGAAATTGCAGTTCTATGGGAAGAATTTCGATAATGAAAATGAATGCTTTGCCAAGGATGATGTTTGTGTTTCAAACAATATGTCAGCCTCAAGATCTCTTCGGGTACCCCAACTATTATCCTTTAT